GGGCCCCTCACTTCCTGAAGCCGCCCACGTTCAGAGCCCAAACCAGGGAGCCCAGCCTGGACACTGCGGGAGGCAGTCGGGGCTCTTAGCCCAGCCTCCTGGGACAGGTCTGGGGTCCTCACCAACAGAGTCACAAGGGACTGTCCACTTGTGTAAGTTACAGCAAACCAAAGCCAGGCGTGTTGGTGTGTGCCTATAATCCCCACACTCAGGAGGCTGAGGCAGGAGGATCGCCAGAGAGTTAGAGGCCAGCCTGAGCTACCTCATGAGAGCCTGTCTTGAGTAACAAAAACAAACCAAAACAAAAAAACAAGTGAAAGCAAACCGTTTAAGGTATGCACGTATCTTTCCCTATCTGGGGCTCTCGTGTAGCTAAAATTTTTTTTTTTTTAGCAGTTTTCACCTGTAGGTCCCAGAGTGTTGGACAGCAGTGCTGTACCCCATGGGTCTCTGTCACTAGTACTGTGGGGTGACAGTGATGGGGGACCTAAGCCAGGAAGGGAGGGAAGCCAAGGGCAGGACCAGCTCAGGGCCTACAGGCTTGTCTCGCCTCCTGGACCCGCACACAGCAACGCTTCCCAGGGGCAGCCCCCGAGGCCCACAGCGGCTATGGACTTGTGGACAGCTCTGTCCTCAGCTGTAAGTCAGAACTGCCCTGGGGCATGATGGGAATAAATGTGGCCAATCCCATCCTGAAGCATGATGGGAATAAACACTGGACAGAAAGGTGGGCAGAGACAAGCAGAACGCAAAAGTCACTTGCAGAGATGAAGACTGTAACCACAGAGCTCAGCCTGGTGCCGCTCAGTAATTAAATCCTGGCCAGCTGAGCACGGTGGTGCATGCTAGTAACTCCAGCACTCAGGAGGCTGAGGCAGGAGGACTGCCACGAGTTTAGGGCCAGCCTGGACTACAGAGCGAGCTCAAGGCCATTCGGAAGTAGAGTGGGACCATCTCACCTGACTCCCTGGAGAGAAGGGTGCCCGGCTGCTGCCACAGAGGCCCCCGGGGTGGGCACCCAACACGGGCCTCGCCTTGATCTCCCCAGAGGCCGTAGGGGTCGGTACCTGTAGCTTTCTCTCCATGGATCCACACAGTAGGAAGTGACCAAGGAGCCCCAGGGACAGAGCGTAGGTGTTGTCCCACCCGGCAGATCTCCCCAGGTGTGTCCAGCTGTGCAACCCAGAACCAGGCCACTTGGGCTCTTGCTCAGCTTCTTTGTATCTTCTTACCCCTCCTCCTCCTCCTCTTTTTTTTTTTTCTTTAGTACTGGGGATTGAGCCAAGGTCTTCCCCAAGCTACAGAATATCCCCCGGCTTTTTGTTTTTCATTCTTTGAAACAGGGGCTTCCTACGTCACTCAGTTGCCCAGGCTGCTCTAACACTTGTGCTCCTCCTCTCTCAGCCTCCCAGAGTGCCGGGGTGACAGGTGTGAGCCACCTCGTTCAGTTTCTTGGGGTCTGGTTAGTAGAAAGCCAGGTCTCATGGTCAGCTCATGCCAGGGATGCTGGAACCCCAGGCCCCTGCTCCCCAGGTCTGGCGCCCCCTCTGGACCACCCCCACTTACTTGAACACCCACCCTCACACCTTGCACATCAGGAGAAGAGGTGAGAGGCTTGGGGGGCGTGGGGGAGAGGGAGGGGACGCAGGGAGGGGGAGGGGAGGGAGGGGAGGCAGGGGGAGGGGAGGGGAAGGAGGGGAGGGGAGGGAGGGGGAGGGGGAGGGGGAGGGGACCTCGCAGAAAAGCGAGGTCCTTAAGGTCAAACCCCCTGAGGACTGGAGGCCTCTGCCTGCTCCAGAGCCCAGTTAGGTCCAGGATGGCCAGGGAGCAATCTAAGCAGCCACCGGAGTCACCACATTCCCTTCACCTGACCAGCATAGTAAAAGCCCCACCGGAGGCCGCCAAGACTGAGACTTAAGACCAAGGCGATCAGGAGGCGCAGCTAGACACCAGCATGCAGCGCCACCAAGCGAGCCGGCCCCTGCATGCCCAGGGCTTACACCTCTGTCCTTTCTTGTGGTTGACTTCCTGGAAATCCTCCTGCTTCAGCCTCTTGAGGGTACTTTTGCTCTTTCTTTGGGTCAGCTGGGGGTTCCTGCTCGCCTTGGGTTAATCCCCCCACTGGAACGTAAGAACAAAAGGCCTTCTTCCCAGGCTGAGGCAGGAGGATCCCAGTTGGGGCCAGCTTGGGCGACTTGGCCAGACTGGCTCAAAAAACCATGGAAGGGCTGGCGAGCAGTGGCCGAGCCCTGGTTCAACCCCACTGCAAACTCGACCTCTGTGTCAGAGGCTTCGGCTAAGTCTCCTGATAGAAAGCGCCAGAACGCCGAGGTGCCCACGTTGTGATCTGGCTGAGGGAAGCAGGGGTTTGGGGGACCCGGGGTGACAGCCGGGCTGGCCCTCCGGACCCGGCCCCACCTGGGCGCTGTCGCCTGGGCTTCAACAGCGGCCCGAAGCCACCGGCGCCCTCACGTGGACAACAGGAGAATGACCCAAAAGGGAACGGGGAGGAAACCGCGGGCCATGGAGCCCATCGAGGTTGCAAAACTGTTTTCCCCTTTTTAAAATTTACTTTTATCTATTTATTCATTTTTATCTTTTGAGGCAGGGTCTCTCTATGTGGTTCAGGTTGGCGTTGAGCTCACTTTGTAGTCCAAGCTGATCTTGAACTTGCAGTGATCCTCCTGCCTCAGCCTCCCGAGTGCTGGGATCACGGGCCTGCGTCACCATGCCTGCCTCCCTCGTCCCTTCCCTTTCTCTCTTCCTCTCTGTCCCACACTTGCTGTGGACACCACTTACTCCCGGCCGGCAGGGTCAGGCACCCACAGATCAACCAGAAACGTGTGCACCTGGCTGCACCCAAGGGCGTGGCACCTGCAGGGGACAGGCCATTCCTGGTGGCCAGGACAAAAGTTCCTGATGTGGCTGAAAGGCCGAGTGAGCTTTTGTCGGCATTGCGAGGGGGCAGCGCGGCTGAGAGGCTGGCCGAGGCTGAGCCACTTCCATCCTGGAGCCTCCTGCTGCTGCAAAGTTGCTGTTTCAAATCCAGTTTGATTGGAGGCCCCACGTGTGAGACCCCACTGTGCGCAGCTCAGGCCCAGCTGTGGCTTGGCAGAGCGGTTCTGTCTGCAGCAAATGCCCGGAAGTTCTGTGGGTGCCGGAATCCAGCTCTGTCAGAGCTCACAGCGCTGGAGGCAGCAATTGAACAAAAACGACCCTTTGCGGGTTCTGAGGACGGCAGCCTTCGGGGCCTGGTGTCAGTGCTGCCGGCCTGTTCTGCCATTCCTCATTCGTTTAAGGACATCTGGGCACACGACAGCCACTTCCTGTGGGGCCGGGACAAGCAGAGCCTCCGGGGGAGCCCTGGACACCCCACGGTGTCCTCGGCAGCCCGGCCCCCACTCCTCTCCCTCCCAGCTGGTTTCTATCTTGTATCTTGGTGCTTCCTCTGTCCTGCCCTCTGCCACATGCACCCTATTACAGGTGGAGAAAGCTCAGTGCTCTATTCTTAAACATCAGTGATTTTTTTTTTTTTTTTTTGACAGCATCTTTCTGTGAACTTCAAATTGGCCTCGGACTTGCCCTGATCCTCCTGCCTCAGCCTCCCAAGTACTGGGGTTAAGGTGAGCACCACTGAACCCAGATATCACTGACTGCTTCTGGTGCCAGAAGTGATGCCCTCAGCACCCAGGAGACACAGCCTTGTGTCCCCCTCCATCCGGTTCTGACTCTGCTGACCAGGGACAGCATCCCACCCCCCAGTGAGGGATTCATGACCCCACTGTGGACGTGAGCCCTGAAGCCACCTTGTGACCTGTGCCTCTGACCAAGCAGCAGAGATTTGTTAGCAGCTCTCAGACCCTTCGGGCTGTGATAAAGGACACCCCAAGGGTGCAGATGGGGGTGGGGGGACACAGAAGGAGGCACCTCCAGCCCCTGCACTCTTGGAGCTCCATGTGTATAACAATCCAGAGGCCCTGAACTCCGTCCCTTTGGATGCTCATGGTTTCAGTTTATTAATAGCATGACCATTAGTCCTGATATGGCAGCCTAATTCCATTAAGAGCCACATAGCAGATTAGTACGGCACGCTGCAGGGCGTGACTGGGTGTGCATGGTGTGTGGCCTTGGGAACCCCAGGGCCCCTCCTCTCTGCTGTTGTTCCCCTGCTCTGCTCCTGAGCCCCCTTGAACCCAGAAGCTTTGCTCTAACACCACACCCCTCCACCATGATGCTCCTGCTTGGAGCCAGTGACCACAGACTGATCCCCTGAAACCGTGAGCCACACTGGACCTCTCCTCCCCTGAGCTGTGAGTGTTGGGCTTTGTGGCCCGAAGTGGGAAGGGCACTGGAGGCACTGAAGATGGGCCTGGCCTTGGCAGAGCTGGGCAGAGCATGGGCCAAAGAAAGATGGGGAGCTGACCTGTGGAGACCAGAGGTTCTGGGACCCCTGGGCTGCCCCAAGACCCCCATTCACTGTGGCTCTGAGGTGTGTGCAGATGAGACATGAGTGGCCACCAGCCTGGGTCACTCTCCTGCTGGACAGCAGGATCTGGGGAGGGGTCACAGAGCCACGTGCGCTGCGGGGGACAGCTGGGTGAGGGGCCTGCAGGGCTGCAGCCCCCTGACCAGCACAAAGTAAAGGCAGGGCCAGTAAATATGAACTGGAGGACAGAAGCTGGCCTGGTGCCTGCCACAGGGTGACCCTGGGCCAGTCCCTTGCCCTCTGGAGCTCTGACTGCTGAACCGGAAAGACTCATCATAACCAAATATATTGTTTACAGGAGAAACCACGAGAGACTACCCTGGTAGATACCAGGCCATAGGCAATAAAAACCACTCGTTCCTCATTTCTAAAAAGGACTGTAAGCTGACCGAGGTGGTGCGTACCTGCAGTCCCACTACTAAGAAGGCTGAGGCAAGAGGATCAATGTGATTTCAAGGGCAGCCTGCCCTGCTTATAAGGTACAATCAAATAGACTATTAAAATACAACAGTCATTTCTAATTTTTATTTATTTTATTTTGTCTCTTTGTGTTGGGAGCCATGGAAGCTGGAAACTGAACACACATGCAGGGCTGTGGCATGGCCAAGGCATGAACAAAGCAACATCTCAAAGGGCAAGATCAGGCCAAGCTGAGGACACCAGGCTCCAGCCCCAGTCAACAAGACAGAGACTGCAGCTGCAGCATCTCACTCCTGTAGTGACAGTCACCTGGAGACTTTCTCCTAAGGTACTTCTCCTAAATTAACAGAATCTTTTTTTTTATCGGTACCGGGGATCGAACTCACGACCGCCTGCTTGCAAGGGAGGCACTTATGCTGCTGAGCTAAATCCCTAGCCCCCCAGAATCTTAATTACTTACTTACTTGGAAAAGTTCTTGAACCACTCCCAAGGTCCTGCTCAGTTTCCTGTGTTTTCCACTCTAACCACCTCCTTGTTTGAAGAACTAAATAAATATGGGCCTCCCAGAGACATCCTTGTCTCAGCCCCCAGAGTCTCAAACTCTGCTAGTGGGTTTTGCTCTTCCTGGAGCCCTAAAATCATACCACTTGTCTCATTTATTTAAGCCTTCCCCATATACTCATCTGAGAGACTGGGGATCTTGGCCAGGTCCCGGATACTGTGATTAAACTCACAATCTCCCGCTTGCCAGGCAGGCACTTGGTCTGGTCCCTGATATTTTTGAGACAGGTCTAGCTATGCAGTTTAGGCTGCCCTAGAGCTCACTTTGTAGCCCAGGCTGGTCTCAAACTCACAACGATCCTCCTGCCTCAGCCTCCTGAGTGCTGGGATTACAGACAATTTCTAATGTTTAAAAAAGACTATTAAGCCAGGCATGGTGGCTCACGCCTGTAATCCCAGCACTCGGAAGGCTGAGGTGGGAGGACCGTTTCGAGTTCAAGACCAGCCTGGGCTACAAAGTGAGCTCAAGGCCAGCCTGAACTGCATAGAGAGACCCTGTCTCAAAAAGACAAAAATTAATAATAATAGGGCATCAGTAATAACTCATCAATTATCAAGCCTGCCATACTAATGCCAGATGTTTGCAATAGCAGAACCTAAGCAGGGAAGACAGGGCTGCATAGGATCTCTGTCCACTCAGTTTTATTTAAATCTAAAATATAGTCCTTAAAACCCTTCATACTTGGGAGGCTGAAGCAGAAAGATCTTAATGAGTTCAAGGCCAGACTAAGCTACATAGCAAAACTCTGTCTGGAAAGAACAAAATCAAAAAAGTTAAAACAAACCACCAGTCCTAGGATGGCCCGACTTCCCCGATGCTGCCAGGCAGCTGTGACTGACCAGGGGGTGTATCCCCTGCTTGAGAAGCAGCTGGGCCAAGACTTGCACTAAATCCCTCTGCCCTTCTCGCTGGCTCTCAAAAGGCAGAAGCTGAAATCCCCGAGAGGAAGTAAGCAGAGTACCCTCAGGACCAGAAATGGACCAGAAGAATTCACCTCGACTTACACGCTAGACCTCCCACATTCTGGGGGCCAGAGTGCTCTTTTCCCCCGCCTTGGGGAGACTACTGGGCCCCCAAAATGTGGATCAAACATGTTCTGACACTTTCTCCTTCCTCTTTTTTTTTGGTGTGTGTGTGTGTGTGTGTGTGTGTGTGTGTGTGTGTGTGTGTAGGGGTTGACACAGGGTCTTGCTGTGTAGCTCAGGCTTGCCTTGAACTCACGTCAGTCCTCCTGCCTCAGCCTCCAGCGTGAGTGCCAGGATCACAGGTGTGCAGCACTGTGCTGCCTGGCCTTTCTAGAACGTCAATTTCCTTCCCCACCCCAGCTGGGATGCCGAGTGGAGGAAAGGAAATTTTGCGGCCACTGCAAATATCCCCTGTTCCCCAGGGAGGAGTAACAGGTAGGGGACCAGGCCAACTTGGGGTCCTATAGAAAACTATGGCTGCCCCTCCTTGAATGCAGAACAACTGCTGCAACCTTGGTTAAACTCAGGCTTCTTTCCGAGCTGGCTGTGCTATTTCCTTCTCTTCACTTGGCCCAAAGCAATGCAAAGAAGCGGTGCAAATGAGGCCAGCTGGGGTCCTGGGGTCACACACAAGCATGTAGGTGCGCACGCGGCCACCAGGGGGCGCCAGCGTGGGGGCTAATCGAGCGGCCCTAAGCCAAGCCCCGCCCACGAGCTAAGCCCCGCCCCTTCACCGTGTACCCCGGGGAAATCCGGGCTGGGCGGGGCTGGGAGGGGAAATCACAGCCCGCGGGGAAGCGGGAACTTCGCTGGGTGGGGCGAGCTGTCGGGGGTGGGGGAGGGGTCGGCCTTTCTTCTCCATCTGAAATCACTGTGTTTTCTTCCCATTCTGGGGACCGAACCCAGGGCCTTGGCACTGAGCTAGCCGGGTGCACATTCCTCTTCTGAGACAGCGTCTTGCTAAACTGCCCAGGCTGGGCTGTACCTCGCAACCCTCCTGCCCCAGCCTCGCAGAGTCCCCGAGTTACAGGTGTTCGCCACTACGCCTGCCGCTTTCCTTCTCAGGTCCTCTGGCTGGAGGCAAGGAAGACCGGGTGGGACCCGCAGGGCCACCGGGGAGAACAGTCCTTGGGGAGGTGGCCCTGCTCAGCTCCCAGACGCGGCCTGGACTTTGCTTCCACCCCTTCTAGCTGGAAAGCTACAAGCTTTCTTTTATGAAACATCACTCTTCTCTGTTCCTATTGTTGCTCTACAGACCCTGTTTTTTCCTACCTTTAACAAATGTCAAACAAACAAACAAACAAACAAACAAACAAACCTGTGAAACTGCCACTGCTAAAACCATAAATAAATAAAAATGGAAGGAGCGCGGTGGCGCACGACTGCATTCCCAGTACTTGAGAGGCTAAGGTAGGAGGGTCGCCTCAAGTTCGAGGCCAACCTGGGCTGTACTGGGACACGTCTCTAAATAAATTAATTAAAGATTAAAAACCAAAGCCCAGCGTGGTGGCTCACGCCTGCAATCCCAGCACTCGGGAGGCTGAGGCAGGAGAATTGTTCCAAATTCGAGGCCAGCCTGGGCTACAAAGTGAGGTCATGGCCAGCCTGAACTGCATAGCGAGACCCTGTCTCAAAACAATAATTAATTGATTAATTAATTAAAAACCAAGAAGGACACGCCAGCGGGCTCGTTGGTTTCTAAGAACACCGCAGTAGTTTCCCAGTTGCAGGACTTGGCAGTGTGGAACCCAAAGGGATCCGTCCCTGGGTGAGTCGGTCGGGGCCCGGAGGGGTCGGGGCTGGCCTTGGCTCTCACCCATGAGGACCTTGAGCTCCTTGCTTACCCTGTGTCCTGGTCCTCTTGTTTATAAAACTTGGGCAGTGCACCCCGCCCCGACAGCCTTTCACCGACTCCGGGCCCTGATGTTCCCATCCAGAGCCGGGTATGAGTTCCGGCCTTTCCTGTTTACGCTGGGATGTGGCAGTGAGGTTCACCCCGCAGTCATCCACGCGGACCAGGGGACCCGAGCCTGCCCACGCACGCGCAGCCGCCCATGAGAGAAAGGGAGGCCAGAAACTGCCGGAGTGCACAGCAGGATTCACTGTATCCCGAATTCTGGCCCCGTGGGCTGCTCTGGGACTTAGGCCACTGTGCCAGGGCTGGGACACGGTGGCCTTCCTGAAACAGTGGCCGAGAGGGACATGGCTGGCTGGCTGCGCTGCTAGATTCTGGGCACCACCCCTGCGGGGGAGCGGGTTTTGCATCATGACATGCACTGGTGGTCTGCGCTCTCCTGCCCACCCAGGCCTGGGTAGTCACAGGGCAGAGGTTCTGGGAGGTAGCCAGCACCCTGAGAGCGGCTGTGGGGAGCCCAGGTTTCATATGTTGTCTTGTGCTGTTTGTGTTTTTGTCTTTTGAGATGGGTCTCTCTATGGAGTTCAGGCTGGCCTTGAGCTCACTGGGTAGCCCAGGCTGGCTACACATCGATCCTCCTGCCTCAGCCTCCTGAGTGCTGGGGTTACAGGTGTGCAGGCCCACAGACCCCTGGCGCTTCCCTCTGCGTCCGGCCCAGGCCTGCATGTCCTTGTGTGGCCTGTGTACCTCCGTGAGTACTTACAACTCCTAAATGGCTGGCGACTCTGTCAGTGCCTGGTGTCCTGTGTTTGGCCTTCTGCACACCCCGGAGCATGAACCCACCCTCAGCAACAGGGTAACAGAGACATTCACAGTCTAGCCTGTAATCCCAGTACTCAGGAGGCTGAGGCAGGAGGATCACCGGCAACTTCAAGACCAGCCTGGAATACATAACTCGGCCCTGTCTCAAACAAAGTAAAACAGACAAACAACAAAACAAAAACACAACGACAGCAAATGACGGGGTGTACAAAGCTGTCCCCATGTGCCTGGCACTGTGCTGGACCCTCATTTTACAGGCCCAGTCAGTAGGTAACTGTCTCCCAGCACCCGGGGAGTAGGAAAGGCAGCCCCGAGTGGAACCCGACAGCCTGGCTCCAAACCATTACTCCTGTCTTGGGATGTGGTTTTGGCATAGGCAACCAGATGGAACTGAGCCCAAGATGCATGAATTCCAAAAGGAGCTCCACACAGCGTTCATGTTTCAGCACCATGGGTTCCTGAAAATCACGCCGCGGGAGGCCCTGAGTTTTCAGACTAATCCCCGGTACCCATGCCTCTGTTTTAGTCAGCAACTAATTTTTTTTTTTTTTAGCTCAGCATCTGATTGTTTAGCTCAGCAACTGTTTTTCCCAGCTCCCCCCTTGAAATTATGGGAGGGAAAGTCTAGCCAATGGGCTAAGAGCAGAAGTGATCCTTGGACCAGGTGTGCTGGCTGAGTGTGGGTGCAATGTCTGGAGCCAGAGCAGCTACTTTGGGCCAGGAAATGAAGACCGAATGTTTTTAGGACAGAAGAGTTACAGAGTTGGGGATGTTTGGATGACTTAGAGAAGTCTGACCTCTTAGGTAGAGGTCAGATCCTCCCTTCTTTATGTTACTGATTGCATGTTTGCAAATGGAGTGGTAACTTGCAGGCTGGCTCAGCAGGGAGGATGTGGCTGGCCCTCCTAGTCCTGGAATTCTGGGCTGGGCCGGGCCGGGCGAGGCTGATGACACACAGACTTTTCTTTCTTTCTTTTTTCCACTTGGACTGTTTTCTCTCAGTTCTAAACTTCTGTGATTCCCCATGTGCCACATTTAAAACCCAAATGGGACCACAGGGGCCACTTGCGGGTGAATTTCCCCCTCGGTCTCTCTGGACCCTTTCACAGTGAGCAGAAATCCGGTCGTTTACTTTTTTTAAATTGACTGTACTTTTTTTAAAGCGTATTTTCCCAGTATGTCTAGAACAGCATTTCTTAGTGAAGAAATATTTAGTTTTATTTGACTTCTCTGCCATCCGTTGAGCAACTGGGACTTCCCTAAGACCCAGGATGGGGTGGTAAAGGTCAGGGCTGGGGCTCAGGCACTGGGGAAACTGAGGCAGGGGGCAACAGGGAGGACAGAGACACTGTGGGCCCACACAGCTCACTAATAGTGAGGGTCTGTGTGATGCAGTTCAGGCTACCTTAAACTGGTGGTGACCCTTCTGCCTCAGTCTCCCAAAAGCTGGGATTACAGAGTGCACACCACACCTGATTTTAGGGGTACAGTTTAGTGATGCTAAGCCTGTGCCCCTCCTGAGATACACTCAGCATCTCCCCTTGTTTGTAAACCTCTTTATTTTTCTGAGACACGGTCTCCCTATGTAGTCCAGGTTGGCCTCAAATTTAGTGTGTCTTTTGTAAAGACACACTGTCTTGTGTAAATCTTTTTTCTTTTTTCTTTTTTCTTTTTTTTTTTTTTGTCTTTTTGTTTGAGACAGGGCCTCTCTATGCAGTTCAGGCTGGCCTTGAGCTCACTTTGTAGCTGAGGCTGGTCTCAAATTTGCTATGATTCTCCTGCCTCGGCCTCCTGAGTGCTGGGATTGCAGGCGTGCACCACCGCACCCAGCCCTGGTTTATAAATCTGGAGACAGGTTCAGCCTGGCCTCCTCCTGCCTCAGCCCCCAAAAGCTGGGATACAGATGTGCACCACTGCGCCCGGCTCCCCTCTGCTCAGTTACTCATCCGAGTCATGCGTTTTCCTTGCCCAAAAAAGATAAGAAATTTCATGACAGAAAAATGAGGAAGTCATGCTGCTGTTACAGGAGTAAGTTGCAAAATATGAAAGCAGAATTGGTTTACTTTCCCTGAAACCGGAGAGAAATTCTGTGTGGGATTTCCACTTTTTTTTTCCTTTGAGTCAGGGTCTGTGTTACACAGTTCACGCTGGCCTCAAGGTTGTGACGATCCTCCTGCCTCAGGCTTCCAAAGCTGAGATTACAGGTGTGTGCACCATGCCTGACTTTAGGGGTACAGTTCAGTGGTGCCAAGCCCTCCCCCCGCTGTGACCCCTGTCACTTTTATTTGGAGGCCTGTAGGAAAGTCCCAGCCCTGTCAGTGTGATGCTGTGTCTTAGTTTCCTAAGTAAGAACTCCTGCTCCAGCTCCAGGTGCTTCTGACTTCTAGAAACAGCTGGGAACCGTGATGACAGTGGTATAAACCAGTCCCCGATGTACAAGCCTGCAGCTCCCACATAAGCCCTGGACTGGGCCGCCTGATACCTTGGGAATTGAAAGGTTTTGGCCCAGGCAGGACACTGTAGCCAGGAAAGCCACAACCGGAAGCAGGAAGCCCCATCTTGCCCTGCCCCTAGGAAGTTACCTGTGACGCCATCTTCCCGCCCCTGGGAATTTACATATGGCGCCAAACCTAGGACCAATGGGCTACCTGTGCATCCCTAATGCCCACCTTAGGTTCCACCCCAAACCGAGGCTATTTACAGGCCCCCACGCCGCGTGTCCGCCGGAGAGATTGCCGGAAGCCAGCGGTGGGGGTGCCGGTCATCTCTCTCCATGTTCTCAGAATAAAGGCCGCTTTTTATTTTATATTTCTCATCTTTTGTTAATATTTTTCATCTTTTGGAAATAACTCTATCAGGAATGACCCCAACCAGTGCCATCAGTGTAAAGAAACCTGCCTTCCACCCAATCCTGGGTGTCCTGTCCGGTCTGCTGCCATCCCATTGTCCTTCAGTTTCAGTTTGTCACTTGAGGGCAGGCTGGGGACAGAGCCAGTGACCACCAGGATGCAGCCCCAGAGCGCAGCTGTGCAGACGTCACCATCGCCAGCCCCGCAGGGCTGCACGAGCACGGGGGCCTTTGTGTTTATTCCCCAGGTGCCCAGGGCCAGTGGGCCTGGCCATGGCCCCACAGAATCTGGCAAAGGGCCGAATCAGAACCACACCTGCGGTCTCCCCCTCAGAGCCACTTCCTGTGGCTGAAGTCGGGGTGCTGCCGGTTCGGGGATCTGAGGGTCACAGGATGGCCGGCACCTCACAGAGTCCTTGTCCCCATCCACGGAGACACAGGGCACACACCGTAAAGTTTACCCCAAGTCATGTTTGAGTTAACGGCCGTGACCACTGACCTCAGAGGAAAGGTTCAGAACCTTTCCTCGGCCTGAGAGAAACCCCAGGTGCCGCCTCCTCCAGCCCGTGCTCCATCTCCGCTTTGTCGCCTGAGCCATCTCATGGAGGTGGAATCACAAGCTCTGTGGCTTTTTGGTACCATAAGTCAAACTTAGGACCTCATGCTCGCCAAGCAGGCCCTTGTTCCACTGAGCTGAATGGCTGGCCCAGCTCTATGACATTTTTTGTCTGACTTCTCTCATTGAGAATAAAGTTTTCAGGGCTGGCCTGTGTTGAAGGATGTATCAGGACCCCGTTCCTTTTTACTGCTAACTCAGCTGTGCATGGCAGTACATAACTGTGGGCCTAACTACTTAGGAGGCTGAGGCAGGAGGGTCTCTTGAGCCCAAGGGTCCACGGCTGGCCTAGGAAACAGCAAGATTCTTTTTCCCCAAAAACAAAACAACATATTGCTGCCTAATAGTCTCCAGAACCTGGAAGTGGGCAGTGCGATTTCAAGACAGAAGCTGGGGGACCAGGGTGCTGGCATCAGTGGTGCATCTGAGGGCTGAGAGCCTGGCATCCTCACTGGGCCCCATGATGGGACAGCGTCCCCATACTCCATGCTGCCAGACCTCTCACAGACTTGCTTAAAGGATGCCTCCCTGCGTGTCCAGGCGCTGAGGCTCAGCAGGGCACCCCTGAAACCAGCCTCAATGCAGTTCTCAAGCTTCTGGTACTGGAGTGGTTCCATCCTGGCTGTTATAACTCACACTGCTGGGCCTCGTGTGTGCTGTTTTGTTTTGGAGACAGTGTCTCTATGGGGTGTAAGCTGGCCTCACCTGTGCAGCAACCCTCCTGCCTCAGCTTCCAGAGTGCTGGGATTACAGCCTGTTGATTTTATTTATTTATTTACTTATTTTTGGTGCTGGGGATCAAACTCACAACCTCACGCTTGCCAGGCAGTTGCTTATGCCACTGAGCTAAATCCCCAGCCCTTGCCTGTTTATTTTTAAAACATGGTCTTGCTATGAAGCCCAAGTCAGCCTTGAACTCAGAATGGAGCCCAGGCTGGCCTCAACCTCACAAAGACTCCTGCCTCAGCCTCCCGAGTGCTGCTGGTATTACAGACCTGCCACATCTAATGCTGGCTCAAAGGGGAAGTTTTTAAAAAGCCCAGAACCCTGGGGCTGGGCATTTAGCTCAGCGGCATAAGCACCTCCTTGTAAGCAGGCAGTCGTGAGTTTGATCCCCGGTACCGATAAAAAGGAAAGACAAAAAAAAAAAAAAAAAAAAAAGCCCAGAACCCTGGTTCATCCCAAGGGTCCTGTGGTTGGAAAGCAATGAACTGACATTCCTTTGTCATTGGCAGGGACACTGGCTGCTCTTGAATACGCCTGGAGCCAGGCAGCTCACCCCCTTGCCTGGCTGCTGGGCTGATAAACGCCTCTCTCTCTGGCGACTTCTGAGAGTGCCTGCCAGGTTCCCGTCTTGGTCATCACCTTCATCCTGGCCAGAAGACCTGGCCTCAGAGGCCAAACCCATAATAGGAACCAGCCTGTGCCGCTCCCTGCTGAGCTCAGATTTTCCTCAGGCCCAGCCCAGGCCTTCTGGCAGGACACTCCTGGTGCTTCCCAGATCCCTGGCCCGGCCTCTCTCCCAGGCCCCCAGCCAGCCCCACAGCCCTGGCCCCTACTGAAGCCCCAGTGAGGTTGAAACAGATCGAGGCTTCACTAGGGCAGAGCCTGGAAACCCCACAGGACCCATCCGAGGTTTCTGCTCTGAGATGGGGTCTTCTACATAGCTCCCCTGGCCTTGAATTCAACAGCGATTTTCCTGCCTCAGCCTCCGAGTGCTAAATCCCAGTCACTCTATCTGCCTGTGGTCTACACAGCCCCAGATGCTCTCATAGCCCTGGCAGCCTCTGACCCAACAGGACTCTGACCCAGCACGTGGCCACCACCCCCACGCTGGCCTGGAGGGACAGACGGGCAGGGCCTGGCCCCGTGCCCCTCCTCCTCTGTCTGTCCACAGCCCCATGGTGGCAGCCCCTGATCAAAGCCCGGTCTCCCATCCTCTGTCCCCGTCCCGGTGACCAGCAGCACCCGTCACAGGTACAGCCTCGTGGCTGCGTGCGTGGTGGGGCAGTAGCGGGCCTGCAGCTGGGCCAGCAGTGTCTGCGGCGTGGCCTTGAAGCGCTGGCCCTGGCTCATCTTGTTCCACACGTGGGCAGCATAGGTGGCATTGAGCAGCTGCGACATCCCCTCGGGGCTGATGTCCTCGAAGTACCTCCGCCAGCCCTGCCAGGGCACGGGGTAGAAGGCCTGGCGGGGTAGGGTGGTGACCCCGCGGCAGCTGAGGCTCTGGGCCAGGCTGCGGGTGCCACACCACTTCTTGAAGACGCGCGTGAGCAGCTGGGGGCCCTGGTGGCCCCAGATCCAGCTGTTGTAGTTGGCCACGAAGTCGCGCATGCACAGCGCCAGGAACTCGTGGCGCCGCTCAAAGGCCAGGAAGGCGCCGTTGAGGACGTAGCGCGACTGGGTCCCCAGCGTGTTGCTGAGGTTCCGCAGGTTGCGCAGGACGATGAAGTCCGTGTCCAGGTAGATGCCCCCGAATTTCCACAGCAGCGCGAGGCGCGCGGCGTCCGAGGTCACCGGCAGCCGGTAGGGCTCCCAGCGCTGCCACAGGCCCGCGTGCCAGGCGGCCAGCGGGGTCCCCCGGAAGAGCGCGTCCAGGTCCAGCGGCAGCAGCTGCACATTGGGGAAGCAGCTGAGGAGCGAGATGCCCAGGTGCCTGGGCAGGGGGGCGCCGGGGTGCAGCCCCTTCATCAGCACCACCACCAGCACCTCGGGGTGCGCCCTGGCTGCCGACTCCACCGCACACATGAACAGGAAGTTGGGGTTGGTCCGCTCCGAAGTCTCCAGGAAGAATATGTTGCTGCCTGCAAATGGGGTGCTGTTGTGTGGGCCTGGAGGCCCTAGCGTGGGGCAGGGGATGTCCACAGGCAGGGTATAGAGGTAGCCTTGGTCTTTGGGGTCTCGCCCAACATGCCAGTAGATCACGATGGAGACAAAGCATGAGAGCATGAGGCCAGCGTGGAACAGGGTGCAGACCCGCTGCCTGGGGGTGCCCCGCAGCAGGGGCAGCAGGCAGTGCTGGGGCCTGGACATGGTATCCCCAGATCACGGAACTGGCCAGTCTGCAAGAGAGGGGCACCAAGATTCAGATGGGAAGACCGGCGGTCCAAGCACTCTGGGAGGCTCAGGCAGGAGGACTGCAAACTAGTTCAAACCAACCTGGGTAATTTGGTGACTCACCAATACTTCTGGCACTCAAAATAAAGAATGGGCTGGGGATGTAGCAAAATAGCCATGAGCCGGGCGTGGTGGCACATGCCTGTAATCCCAGCACTCAGGAGGTTGAGGCAGGAGGATCCTTGTGAATTCGATGCCAGCCTGAACTATGAAGTGAGTTCAATGCCAGCCTGAACTGCATAGTGAAACCCTGTCTGAAAAGGCAAAACACACAAACAATAAACAAAGCCATAGATGACAGAGAGGTCTCAGTTGGTACCGCAGAAGCTGCAGAGGCTTGGGCCAGGGTCACGCATGGTGCGCAGCTGGGGTCGAGCTTCTGCAGGGCTCATGGGAGGGGATGGCAGTGCCCCTTGGCACATGAGCAGCCTGGGGACCGACAGCCCAGGGATGGCACTGGAGGGCTGGCATCATGCGGGCAGAGGCTGAACCAGGCTGTGTCCAGGCACTTGGAGCCCCGGATGTTCATGGGGTCTCCAGTTTTGGAGGCCTCAGCCCTCAAGCACAGGCACGGAGCAGGAAGGGACGGACAGGGAGCCTGTACCAGGGTCTGTGACCTTGACCAATGTTAACAGCTTTCCATGTCCCTGTCTGGTGATGTCCCTGGTGTCGAGGGACATTCCTGTGTGCACGGGTGGCCCCGTCTTCCCACATTATGTCCACTCATTCATCCGTTACCCACCTAATAAATCATGTGAGCCCACACGTGCTGGGTTATGGTTTATATTCCAATGGCCCCCCGGGCCTCGTACAATCATGGATGTGGCCATTTGGGATTGGTTCGTGGTCTGGCACTCAGATTGGTGATGTGAGTGCCCAGGGGTGGAGCCAGCTGACAGCGTAATGGCGGGGCTGGAGGAAGGCCCGTCTCTCTCTCTCTACCCAGTTCACACTTCGCTGCAGAGGTGGCCATGAATGGCTGCACCGCCACGCCACCTTGTTGCTTGGAGCCAGCTGCGTATGGACTGAAACCTCCAAACCATAACAAATAAATCTTCCCTTCCCTAATTTTGAGTATCAGGTGTTTTATCTCAACAAAGAGAGAAAAGCAACCAACACACACCGGGTGACCTTCCCGGCCTCTGACTGTACCAGCTCCTCAGACCTCCACAGCTGCCCCGGGGACCCCACATTCACCTAGGTCACCCAGAAGGGTGAACAGACCTGAGGAGATTCTGCAGCTCACGCAGTCCCACGGCCCTCAAGTGGGAGGGCAGGGGATCCAGGCCGGTTCATGTAGCCCCATCTCCTGCGGCCAACGAGACCTTGGGGGACCAAGAGGTGCTGGTCACCTGCGTGGTATTTACCATCAACAGCAACCCAGCCAGCACAGCCCCAGTGCCTTCTGCATCCCGGTCACCTTCCTCTGACCTCAGCAGCCCAGGGCACAGTGGCATCATTTCTAGGACAGAGCCAGGAATACTGGTACCGGGGAGTTGAGGAATGAACCGGATGTGGTCTGGGTGCTACGGGGTGGGGGCAGCCACCCCAGGGCACCCTGAACCCTTCAGTGGTCTCCCCTAATCTGGGAGCCTGGGGCTGAAGCAGGTTGGCAGGTGGAGGCAGGGAACCTGGGTACCTTGCTGTTGGCACTCTGGGAGACAGTCCAGACTCAGTCACCAACCTTTTTCACTCGCAGGGGCACAGCCTTTCTGTGCCCTCTGGACACCCGTAAATCCATCTGCAAAAGATGGAGAGACCTCGGTACTGGGGCTTCCCAGCCTCCTGGGCACCAGGCCACAGTGCATCTGTTTGCTGCCCACAGGTTTGGTTTGGATCAGCTCTGGGGGGCAGGGAAGGGGGAGCCTGGGGAAACAGACGAGGGCCAGGAGTCCTTGAGCAGGGAGCTGGGCACCATCGGGCGGGATGGAGGGATCACACCCGGAGCTCAGGCAGCCAGTTCTCTCCCTCGGTGACTGCCCTGCCCACTGACTGCCTCCCCCTTGGCAGCCAGAGGGACACTTTAAAAGGACAACTCAGGGCTGGCCATGGTGGTGCGCACCTTTGGGAGGCTGAGGCAGGAGGATCACTGCAAGTTAAAGGCCCTTTTTGAGACCCTGTCTCAAAACAAAAAAGAAAAGGTTACAGTGACAGTTGTGCTGCGTAGGAGGGTGGGGTGGGATGTACACTGGAAGGGGGGGCAGACCTGGTGTCCCCTGAGCAGGGCACACAGCGGGTCCTGTCCTGCGATACATTTTTTTTTAAACTTAAATACTCACCATGGGTTCCTATCACCCTCCTCCCTGCCCTTGGGTTCGCCTGTGGCACCTTTTACTTAACTTGGGGTGCAAACCATAGCTCTGGCTCCCCACCCCTGAGCGTGGGAGAGAGGCTATTTTGGTTCTGAGCATTTTTAACCCAATGTGCGCCACCAGGAGGGTGGACAGATGGACAAATAGCAGACGGATGGCGGCTGGCCGAGAGCTCTGACTGCAGGGGGCCGCCGTGGGCAGAAAGTCCCACGTGGGCCTGCGCGTGACCCGGCCCGGTCACCTGGCTGCTGGCCGATGGCTGCTGCCGGGCTGGGCAGCACCATATTTGGCGTGGGAACCCAGGCTCGGGAAAAGAGGCTGCATGCAGGCTGCAGCCCGGCTCCCGCTGACCTCAGGCCCCAAGCATGCTCCCATCCCCTCCCCGACAGGCCTCGAGCTGAGGCGGAGCTTGGCAGGTCCTGCTGGCTTCTCCCAGCCCTCCATGGCTTCTGCTGTGAGGACCCTGAGCTGGCTGGGGCAGGAAGTGGAGGGAGAGGAGAGCGTGGGGCCGGCACAGACAGAGCCCTGCAGCTGCCAGGCATAGACATGGGAGACCTCTGGCCCCTCTGTCCTCGATGGGCTCCTGGGCCAGGCCCAGTCCCGGCCCACATGGGACCTATGAGCCCCACCTCCAGGCCAGGAACACTTGAGAAGCACACATCCTGACCTGGGCGTGATGGTGCACACCCACCCCAGAACTCAGGAGGCTGAGGCAGGAGGATTCCCTATGAGTTTAAGGCCAGCCTGGGCTAAAAGAATCAAATAGTAAAAATTCAAGCATATTTCTGATACTCAGGATAATGTGGCTCTGTTTCTCTGAATCGAATACACCTTTTTGTTGGTGCCAGGTACCTACCCTCCCCTGGCACAGGGGCACTACAGGCAAGCACTACACTGTGCCTGGGTTTCTGCACTGTGTGGTTTTGCAGGACAGTGCAGAGAGCACACACTTGGCATCTGTGCCACCCGTGGCCACCACCGAGCTCCTCACACACTGTGCCAGGGGATGCCAGCTTCCTCAGTGCCCCTCACAGGGCTCCAGAGCCACGGGACAGAAGCTTCATCTGTCCCTGAGATCACTCACAGAGCCTCGCAGGGACGGGTGGTGACAGGAAGGACAGGGGAGGGCGACACAGGTGCTGTGCCCTGCGGCTGCAGAAGAGGCCGGCGGCCCGTGTAGGCAGGCAGAAATGGCGGGCTGGGGCTGCAGCTCGTGGTGCGGTGCCTGCCTGAGTTTGATTCCCAGTCCCCCTCCTCCCAGAAAAGAAGCAAAGAAACCAATGTAGCCAACAGAACCAAAGCAGGCCTCCCGAAATATCAGGACTATAGTTTTTAATGCGAAGCAGGAAGCAGGGTGTGGTGGCACACACCTGTGATCCCTGGGCCCTGGGAGGCTGAATCAGGAGGGTCACTACGGCTTTGTTATATATATATGAGACAGGTTCTTGCTCTGTAGCCCAGGTTAGCTTCGAATTCACCCTCATCCTCCTGCCTCAGCTCCCAAGTGCTGGAATTACAGGGATGCACCGCCATGCCTGGCAGGAGGCGCCCAAATCTGAGCCCAGCTTAATGACAATTTTTTTTTTTTTTTTTTGTCTTTTTCCTTTTTATCGGTACCGGGGATCGAACCCATGACTGCCGGCTTGCAAGGCAGATGCTTATGTCGCTGAGCTAAATCCCCATCCCCTATTTTAATGACAATTTTTAATCCCAACACTCGGAAGGCTGGGCAGGAGGATTGCTTTGAGTTCAAGGCCAACATGAACTGCATGGCAAGATCCTGCCTCAAAAAGCAAAAAAGACATAAAGACTGAATGTGGGAAGGGATAGGTCTGGATATTTTGTTCACCCACCTGCCCTAGGATGCTTATCTGGACTTCACGGTGATGCTAACTAAGTATGGCATAATCTCCAATTACTGTGTGTCCCTCAGGGAGGCCTGGAGGCGTGACCACTTTCTCCTGGGCCTGGCCTCCAGCCACAGCTTCCAGGGCTTCATTTCTGCTGACTGGTCTCAAGCCCGCCTCCTCTCTGGCTGTATATTCAACTCCTGTCTGAATTAGCTGCCTTGACTGCTACCCTGGCTCTACCGCTCAAGGCCTCCAGTAGGGACAATACTCCCCGCCAGCAGGAACACAAAGGCCAGACATCTGTGGTCAGATCTCTCTCGTTAAGGAGAGGAGGTGGCTTGGTCAATTTTCAGCAAACAAATTTTGACCACTATTTTAGCCTCACGTGGTGGTACAGGCCTGTAGTCCCAGCACACGGGAGGCTGAGGCAGGAAGACTGCCAGGAAATTGAGGCCAGCCTGGGCTAGCTAAGGAGACCCTGGCTCACAAAACCGGAAACACCTGCGCCTCTAGATGGGTTCTCAAAGATGCCTCAGAACGCTGTGGAGCCCCAGTGGCTCATGGGATTCTGGACGGTACTGCACCCCTCCCCTCCCCAATCCTAGAATGAAGCTGGTCATCAGAAGAGAAAGATTAAAAAACAAAACTAAAGCACAGCAAAGCTGACCAAACAGTGCCTGGAAATTATTACCAAAATAGTCCTGCCCAAGGACCTTAGGGAAGCTCTGTATGTGGGCACAGCAGGTTCCAGTGGGAAACCAGGTTGTGCCCCATCAGTATTCAAGGTATCCGGCTCCTGCTCCACAGCGGAGGCCTTAATGCCGCTGCACCCCATGTGGGAGAGGGCAAACGCGGGGCTCCGAGCTGCGGGAGGGTCCCTGGTGGCAGGGCTGCAGGGTCAGCAGCCAGGAGCGTCTGTCCTGGGATGTGGGGCACTGGAGTCCCTTATCCATGGGCAGAAGCAAAACTGTGTGCACCAGGGGGTTCGCCCTGCCTCCCCCTTCCAGGGGCTGGAGGCCCAGGACAGGGCACAAAGGAACAGGCCTTGGCCTCCTGATGGGCATCAGCATGGTCGCCTGGGCCGAGGAGGATGGGGGCTGCTTAAGTTCCAGGCCTCAGGAAGCCGCTTGTCTTCAAAGGAAGAAAGCCAAGTTTTTTTAAAAAATGTATTTATTTATTTTTTGGTCTTTTTGAGACAGGGTCTCGCCATGCAGTTCAGGCTGTCCTTGAGCTCATTTTGTAGCCCAGGCTGGTCTCAAATTTGTAATGATCCTCCTGCCTCAGCCTCCAGAGTGCTGGGATTACAGGTGTGAGCCACCATGCCTGGAAAGACTAGAAATTTTATTGAAGGAGAGATAGCTCGGGAGACAGGAAGGGTTCCGAATGGGCTGCCTTGAACCCCATTTTTTAGAGGAGTTTTTTTTCTTTTATCGGTGCTGGGGATCAAACTCATGACTACACGCTTGCAAGGCAGGCACTTATGCCACTGAGCTAAATCCCCAGCCCCTTAGAGGAGGTTTTGTAGAGCAAAATCACAATGTGGGTACAACGTGGGCTAAAAATACGTCAACCAATAAGATAAAAGACCCTTGGGTGATCCAGAGAACAAGGCGCAGGTCTGGAAGGACGTCAGGGGGTCCTGTCTCCCACCCGGAGGGTGACGTCTGTCTGGACTTTACTGGACCAGGTGACACCCATTACAGGTTATTGCTTCTCCCGGGCAGGAAGGCGGGGAGGCCTGGCCTTGTGTCTTTATCCTGAGGGCTCGGGCAGGGGTGACTCCAGCCACAGCGGGGCTGTGCTCTCATCCTCTGTCCTGTCTGGGTCCCTGCCAAGCTCAGCTGTCCGCAGCAGGCTCATTATGAGCTAAGCCCAACAGGACTAAGCCAGGGCCGGCTGCCCCGGAGCCAGGGCAGAAGCCCAGCCACCTTGCAACTGTGGGGGGACCAGACTGCCGAGGGCCAGATCTCGGGACAGAGGTGAAAGGTTCTGGGGCTGTGGCTCAGCACACAGCGCCTGCCTGGCAGGCACAGGGCCCTGAGTTCGATTCCCAGAATAGCTACTTACCCCCACCCCAGAGAAAACCCCATTTAGCTTCATGCCCGCCTGCTGTTTACTCGCTTCCCCACTGGGTCCCGGTTTCATGGATCTTACCTGGACAGTGACACTCGTCCGTAGTGGCTGACCATGGCTCTGTCCCACCTCACGCCACCTTCCGATTTCCTATCTTTCCCCCTGGGCCCACCTCACCCTGGGGCTTTGCTCTACAAAAACCCCAGAGCAGGCGGGGTCCTCAGCAACCCAATCAGGACCCGTTTCTGACTCTGGGACGGAAGCTGTCTTTCCCCTAATAAATATATTCTGCTTTTCACCTCTGTTGTTTCTCAAATTCATTCTTGATTTTAGAGAACTCGAACTAGTATGGGACATCTAGCAGGTCGGGGGTTTCCTTCCCCTGTATCAGTAGCCATAGTAGAACACACACACACACACACACACACACACACCAGGCTCTCTAGAAGCTGGATGTGGTGGCGCAGGCCTGGCCTGTAATCCCAGCACTCAGGAGGCTGAGGCAGGAGGATCACAGCAGATCTAGGCCAGCCTGGGCTACCCAGTGAGTTCAAGGCCAGCCTAGACTCAAAGACCCTGTCTCAAAAAACCAAAAGTAAACCAAAACAAAACCATCTACAGGGAAACTCAGAAGGAAAAACCAGCTAGCTCTTTAGAGATGCAAATATCAAAGTTTCAGGATTGAAAACAAGGCCCGTTGGCAAAGGATCAAACAGACCAAAGAAACAAAAGAAACCCCAAGAGCCAAACCAAACTTTCAAGTACAATGCAGGCAGTGTCCCAGACCCGAGGGGAGGGTAACTGGGCCTTCTGGACGGGAGGTCTTGGGGTGTGGGGTGGCCAGGGGGGGTTCACACCTCAGAAGAGGCCCCGGGACAAGGCTTGGCAAAGTTTCCTTCCTTTCAACAAGCGTTTATTATGCACTTATTTCTGGCCGGATGCTTATGCTGGGTTTGTATGTTTGGCTTTTTTTTTTTGAGTACCAGGAATCAAACTCACCACCTCGTGCTTGCCAGGCAGGCCCTTGTGCCACTGAGCTACATCCGCAGCCCCCTTTTTTTCTGAGACAGGGTCGCACTTTGTAGTTCACGCTGCCCTTGAACTCACTGTGTAGTCCAGGCTGGCCTCCAATTTGCAGCAATCCCTCTGCCACAGCCTGGAAATGCTGGGATTACAGACCTGTGCCACCACACCTTGCAGGAAAATTTTCTTAGTTATGTCTGGAATCCAGAAGCCATAGAGAAAAGAGGAATTGGCTGAGTGTGGTGGCCCATGCCTGTAATCCCGGCACTCTGGAGGATGAGGCAGGAGGGTTGCCAGCCTGGGCTATGTAATGAGTTCCACACCAGCCTGGACTACATAGTAAGACCCTGTTTTAAAAGAATAAACAAAACAGAAGTTTCAGGTGGCAATTTCACACTGCCCCTGGGAAGCCAAACCCTTCCCTGCCAGCTGGAGGAAGAGGTGGCCTCAGAGAGAAAACACAGGTGCTCCCGGGACTGCCCGCTGCTGGGGTGCTGCTGAAAGCCTCCTGATCTCCCGGTACCCTCAGAGCGCCAGGCTGGGTATATCAACTCCGTGCCTAACAGTGGTAATTCGAGTTTGGACACGGTTTGCAATGCAGACAGGGGTTCCCAGATTAATTACCACTTTTGATCCCAGCCCTGTGGGCAGGGTGGGGACTGAGCTCAGCCTCCGTCCCCACGGTGACCTCCGAACGTGGGCAGCAGGCAGTGAGCGGCACTGGAGGCCGGCACGGTGCTCGCAGTATCAGCGTTGTTATCCACTCCACTTCTGTATGTGGCTTCTCTAATCTCTCGCTACTGCAAACAGACCTGGCAGGAGGTCGATGCTCAGAGGGGGAACGTGTGCCTTGGTCACCTTGGCAGCCCAGGCGCTGGGCAGGAGGGAGGGCTACCCCATCACTGCTGAGTTAGCGCCCGACGGGACCTGGTGAGGGTTCCCGGCGGCCCCCCAGGTACTCAGGAGAGGACCCCGGTCCTGCACTTCTCTGTCATTTCCTGAGAACTCCACTCCAGGGAAGGCAGAAGGACAAGTGGCAGGCAGTGCCCTTCATCAGCTGGGCAAGGCTGGCGGCGGAAACATCCATGGCCGGGCACCGGAAAGCCAGGCTCGCGTTTCCTCTCTTTGAAAGAACGGTCTCAGGGCGCTTTGCGCTCTCAGTCCTGAGTGCACTTAGATTAAAGTAGGGCTGGGGCCAGGAGAGTGCAGGGGTGAGGCAGAGCCACAGAGGAGCCAATTTACAGACTGCACAGCACAGGTTTACATCAGTTAGTGGCCGTGACTATGCTGATGCTGCCTGTCGCCCGGGGAGCCTGCTGGGCTCAGTAGCCCGGACTGTCTGTGCCTGCCTGCCTCTCCCAGGTGACGCATGGGTCAGCCAGCTGCGTCCGGATGTACCACTTGTGTTTTCCCTACCTAGAAAAACACACACAGCTTCCCAGCTTGCTCCAAGGACTCCATGTCTGGGACTCTACCTGCCCCACTCAGCCGCCCTCCTCTCCTTCCCGGGATGCCCCGACCGAGCCTGCTGCACAACGCAGGACTTAATTCATGTACCCGTCATGTAACGAACTGCCGCCAGCCCTGCACTTCCTGCAAACTGCATTGAAACTGAACCCCAAGCTGACTCGCGGCTGGTGATTTGGACTCCGTGATAGTTTGCCCAGCTTTCCAGACACCTCGGTACTGGCTTCCCGCAACTTGGGGGCCACCAGCGTGGCCCACCCCACTCAGTGTATTTATTGTGACTTGTTGGGGCTGTCCGGAGCTCTCTGGGGACACACGTTGGTCTGTGCCAGGTGGGGACAAACCCCAGGGGTGGGGAGATGAGGCAGCTGGCATGCTGGGGCCACTGGAGCCTGACTTGCCAGGACATGAGGGTGGTGAGCCCAGGGCTTCTCATATGAAAGCTGCCTTCCAGGTCCCACTGGTGAGGGACCCAGCAGTTCTGAGGCCACTGCAACAAAGGCAGGGGACAAAGACACTCACAATTTATACCTTGCTCTTTTTTTTTTTGAGGCAGTCTCACTATGCGGTCAGGCTGGCTTGAACTCTTCTCTTGATGTATCCCAGGCAGGCCTCGAACTTGCAGAGATCCTCCTGCCTCAGCCTCCACAGACACTAGCACTACAGGCCTTCTCTACCACACCCAGCATAGATCATTCATCCTGAAGTGCAGCCATCTCCCAGGCCCCACAGATATACCCGGCTCCCCTCTGCAGGCCACACCCTGTTTCTGGGCTGAGGGCTTTCACTGTCTGCCTAGTTAACCCCTTTCTGTCGCCCACAGATGCACCCTGAAAACCTTCTGTGATGGCAGTCAGCACACCTGCAACCTAATTCTGCAGGCTGGGTAGTTTAGGGGCTTCTGAGGACAGCTGTCCATTAACAGGGACACCTGTCCAGGGGCCAGTGGCCAGACCCAGGCTGGTCTAGCACTAATAGGTGTGTGCCGGTCAGCAAACCCAGCCACATACTCTATCTAAGGGCCTCGAGTGCCAAGCCCGTTGGTATCCTGGGCACCCTGGCCTGTCCCTCTCCCGCGGACGCTGAGGGACACAGAGCCTGGGGCCCCCCAACGCTGTCCCTGCCCTGTGACTCAGGTGTGCCAGCTTCTGATGTCCCCCTTTCCTGTCCTGACACTGGAAACTTCGTTCCTATCTTTGGCTTTTACAAGTAACACCACGATGACGGCTGTCATTTCTGTCTCTTGCGTGCCTGCCCTCTCCCCAGGAGTGACACCTGTGATCACATACACGGCCCGTGCTGCTGGTGAGCTGAGACGTCTGCTCCCAGGGTGAGTGACGTGCATTAAAACTCATGGGCAGGTGAGAGCCACGAGATCTCAAGAACATCAAGGGCCCGCAGGGTACAGTCCCTGGTCAGCAGTGTCCACACACTCCCTTGCTCAATCCTTCTGATTCCCACATGGCAGATCCTGCTGGTTATTTTATTTTACTTACTTTTGATTTTTCAAGATAGGGTCTCACTATACATGTAGTCCAGGCTAATGTTGAATTCACAAGAGATCCTCCTGCCTCAGCCTCTCATATACCGGTGTGCCTCTCATATACAGGTGTGCACCACCACGCTCAGCTTCCTCTCCTTGTTAACTAGTGTTTAAGAGTTGAGGAACCACAGGCAAGATGTGGAACTGACCAGGCTGGTCAGCAGAGGGACAGAATTAGCACATATGGTGACCCAATCTCATGAAGACAAGAAAACTTTTAAGAGGTGCTGAGGGGATGTAGCTCAGTTTAGATTCACTTCCCGGGGTGGGGTGGGGTTTCACAAGAGCAGCGGGCAGGACAGAGACCAGGAGGCTGGAAAGGGAGGGAGGAGGGGAGAGGGCGCCAGCAGCAGGCTGGAGGGTCCACTCTGGCTCTGTGGCCCAGCAGTGTTCCTGTCTGCAGCGTCTCAGTGGCATGGACAGCTAAGTTAGATAGACTGTTACGGGATAAACCCGGGGACTGGTACTCTAAACCGCCGTCCACCACCTTGATACCCTGGTCACCTTGAGGAAGCCGGAGCCACTACCCCAACCCCCTACAGGCAAAGGCCCTATTTCAGCTTGCTACACGCGTGACTCTTTCCCTATTGGATCCCGATTTAATCAATCTTCCCTCAGCAATTACACTTGGAATCTTATTGGCCGACCACAGTTCTGTCCCGCCTCATGCCCACCTTGCAAGTTCCCATGGTTTCCCCACCTTGGACCCGCCTCACCTCATAGTTTTGCTCTATGAAGAACCCTAGAAAAGGCGGGTCCTCGGCAACCTGCTCGGCACCCCTTCTGTCTCTCTGTGGGACAGAAGCTTTCTCTCAATAAACAGATTCTGCTCTTAACCTCCGTTGTTCCTAAAATTCATTCTTTGATTTTGGAGAACAGGAACTCGGACCATGTATCTGGCAGATCGGAGGTTTCTTTCCCCTGTGCCATGTAGAGGTCTCCCACTGAGGTCAACACTCAGAGGTAACAGTTTGCTTTGTTTTGTTTGTTTGTTTTTCACAAACTCTGGCCTGGGACTTGTTTAGGTAACAAATTTGTGTGCTTCCAATTTTGCTTTGTTTTTGACCTTTGCTTATAATTGCCCTGCCCCTCGGGCAGTTTTGTTAAAATAATGACAAACCTAAGCTTATCAGGTTATGATACTTCTTTAACAGGACATTCTGACTCCTGCATTGTTCCTGCCCATGTTGCATTTAAATTAGTTACTAGATTTCCTGGAACTCCTTGCTCAGCTTTGGACAAGCAGTGCCAGAGAGGGTAACGTTAGAACACCCCTCACAGACTTTAATATAAACTCCTGTAAAATGGGTCTTCTTCAATAAAATCAAGTTCAGACTGAGAAAATATACATGCCCAGAATGAAACACGGACTCCTTCCCCCAGTGAAATGACACCAGGCCGGTGGCCGTTCTTACAACCTGGAGGACAGGTTTCCTGGGGACAGACTGGCCCTGATCCCCCTCTGCGCTCTGGAGGAAATGTCCAGCCTGTTCTGCTTCAATTTCCTTTCTTTGGCGTTTCTTGTAACTTTTCCTGTCCCTTTGAGCTTTCATTTTTAGGCAGTAGAATTAGAAAGGACTCTGGACTGTTCCAAGCTTTATTTAAGCCCATGAAAATGAGTGTTTGCTAACACCGAAGACAGGGGAGTCATCTCAGATAAAGGACACAGGCTCGTCTCTGGGTCAGAGGAGACACTGGTATTTTGCCCACCCGTAGGACACACGTGAAAGCCATGCCCAGCTCAGTGTTCTGGACAAATCTGCAGAGATGGAACCTGAGACACTGTGGAAAGAGCCGCCTTCCAAAAGCAACACAGGCATGGGATGGGTTTAGCCTAAGGGAGGCTCTGAGGCCTTGGGTTATATGCATGGGATTGTAAACTTAAGGAGCAGTAGGTAATGATCTTGCTCAGGCCTTAACTATCCCTTGGAGAACTCTGACAAATGGTAGTTACTCTGTCAGCTAGTTAAACCCTCTCAGAGCAGGGCCACTTGTTTTTTAGGTACCAGAACTCAAACTCAGGGCTATGTGCTTGCCAGGCAGGCGCTGTACCATTGAGCTATATCCCCAGCCCACAGCTGCCCACTCTTAAAGCAGAGGACAGGTTTCCCCAGCATCTCTCAGGTGGATCCCCACTGAAGCCAAGCCCAGTGGAATGCTGACCAGACAAACAGCTGGGTTCCTTGGAGACTGACCTTTGCTTTTGTGCACCAACAGAAACTGAGAACTGGCCAGGACACCCACAGGCTCCTGACCTTAGAAAAATCCCCACTTATCTATCAGACTTATCTCTCTGCTAGTAACCTAGCAGCTCCCTAAACTTTTCAGTGGATTTTAAAATCAGTTAGAGATTAGGCTGAGACAGCATTCACAACTGCTTACCTTTCACAGCGTGGGATGGGGGATGATCTGCATTTGTGCCTTACATATGTTAATTAGGAATAAATAGCCTTTGCTTTTATGTATTCATAAAAAAATGCTGTGACGGCTGGGGATTTAGCTCAACGGCATAAGCACCTGCTTTGCAAGCAGGCAGTTGTGAGTTCGATCCCTGGTACAGATAAAAATGAAAAAGACAAAAAAAAAAAAAAAATGCTGTGCCTTTGCAGAACTGTGATTTTAAATAAAATAGGGTATCCTCCTGTTGCTAGGAATGGTAGGGGGCTCGCTGCAGGACGAAGAGTCTGGAGAGTTTTTTGCCCCAGTGCTTGGGCAAGGCTCCTCCAGCTGTTTCGTGGGTCTCCAGAGGCGAGTTCCTATACAGCCTGAGAAGTCTCTGACCGCCTCCAACTCTCCTTCACCCATCTCCCCTTCCAGTGAACAAAAGCAACAGCTTATTACAAAGTTACATTTCCTTCTTTGAACTTTCCTGTCACAGTAACTTGTGCTTAAAAACCAAGTTCCCGGTTATCAGGGGAGATAAACATACACCGCAGTCTGAGGGTGGATGGCTGGTCACTTTCTGTCTTCTGTTCTCTCCAGATGGCATCCACGGGCCCTGGAGTAGAATCAACTCAAGGACACTAGCAAACAGAAGTGAGGGGACACCTAGTTCTTTCTTTTTGCGTACATAGGTAGCTTATTATCAAAATCTTTCACTCTTTTGCAGTGCATGCTGAAGCACTGGGGAATGCTGGACCCTCACAAAACAGCCGTTAGTATTTCTCTGCACACTGTGTGGCCCTCGTACCGCCGAAGCCAAACTGGGACACAGACGTAAGAATTCATCGTGATGCCATTTTACAGCTGGAGTCACACTGACATAAGAGAAGGAAGCTCCCAGCCTGCTGCTGTACGTCCGGGAGGAGTTCGTGTTCTCTAAGACTGAAGAATGAATTGTAGGAACAACTGAGGTTAAGAGCAGAATCTATTTATTGAGAGAAAGAAAGCTTCTGTCTGAGGGGGGTCAGAAGGGGTCCCGAGAGGGTTGCCAGGGACTCTGTCTTTTCTAGGGACTTTTAGAGAGCAAAACCACACAGTGAGGTGGATTCAAAATGTGAACTTGGGGCCGGGGATTTGACTCAGCGGCATAAGTGCCCGTCTGGCAAGATTGATCATGCGTTCGATCCCTGGTACCCCCAAAAAAGTGAACTTGGCAAGGTGGGCCAAGTGGGACAGAACCATGGTCAAACAGTAGGATTAATCGCTCAGTAAACCTGATTAAACTGGGGGTCAGTGGGGAAGCCAGTCACACAGCAAGCAGGCACTCAAAGACCAGTGACTTCCCCTCTGGCTTCCTCAGGGTGACAGACACAGATGTAGACTCGCAGTCCTGGGATGTGGGTGTATCAGCTTGACCTTTTGTCTTGAAGTCTGGCCACAGCCGGAGGCGTGGTCTCCTCCCAGGTTGCAGGCTTCTGGCTTCCTGGCCTGGCTCCTTCCAGGGCCCAGCGCTGTTGTTTTGGGCCTCAGCTGCCCGTAACAACACCATCAAAAACAGGAAAAGGGGTCAACACTGTCCCATGGTCAGACTCTCTTTACAGTAAGAAGAAATACTCATTATTTATGTTCAAAGTGTAAATGTAGCCACAGGAGGGCCAGGCGTCCTGACCCAGGCACCCACTACTCAGGACCAGCCAGCTCCTCTCCACCCTTGGGAGCCCAAGGAGAAGCGGTGTCCATCACAGCCTCCATCACAGCCTCGCCCACCAGTCCTGAGCCTGAGGGTCCCCTTCCCCGTTTCCAGGGCTCCGAGTGCCTGCAGGACCCAGCCTACCCTTACGAGCTCCTCCAGGGCACTGGCCTTTACAGGAAGCACACGGACTGACTGTCCAGAATTCACGAGCTTTTTTCTCTCCGCCACTTACAACAGATAAAGTTAGACCTTGGAAAACTTTCAAATGACCCTGGTAAGTACATTGAGGTCCCTAGAGGACATGCTCGGACTATGAGCTGGACTGGAAAGATGTGATACCAGTGCTTTTAAATCCAACATCGACGTGCAGTGAGAGGCCAGAGCATTGCAAGCTGCTGTCGCCGTGGGAGAGGAGCATCCTTCTCTTCTATTTTAGAAAGCAGAAGACGGAGCCACCGGTTCCCACCAGAGCCCAAGCCGTCCCTACCAAGACCCCTACTGGCCTAGCAACCGGATGGCAGATTGGAATAGGAAACATTTCCAGACATGAAGAGCTAAAAACCATAAAACTAACTCATTCAAATATTTTAACTTATCAGCTCTTCAACAAGAAAAAGAGGGCCTTCCCTTTGCCTTCTTAGAGCGTTTACAAGAGGCAATGATAAAGCATACTTCCCTGGACCCTGATTCCATAGAGGGACAAATTATTCTTAAAAATAAGTTTATTACGCAGTCAGCCTCAAACATTAGAAAAAAGCTATAAATGGCTTTTGCCCCAGATGGTTCACTGACACTCTAGTACAAGTTGCCTCCTCAGATTTTATAACCGTGGGGGATTTAGCTCAGCGGCATAAGCACCTGCCTTGCAAGCAGGTGGTCGTGAGTTCAATCCCCGGTACCGATTAAAAAAAAAAAAAAAGATTTTATAACCGTGACGAGGAAGGACTGAAGAGAAAACAGAGAGATGGGGACAAAGAACTGCCTTGGTTGCAGCGTTGAGAGAAACAGACCCTGGCTGGGGACGTAGCTCAGCGGCACAGCGCCTGCCTGGCCAGAGCAAGGTCCTGAGTTCAATTCCTGGTACAAAACCCCCACAAAAACAAACGAGAGAAACAGACCCTACATCTGATTCTCAGGGCTCCAAGAAAAGCTTGACAACTACACTCACCGCCACCACTGGCCACAAGCCAGGTCACCATAAGAGGGACTCCCCAGGGGGCCCCGGGGCCACGCCCTGACTTCCAGGGTGACCACTGGAGGTCCACCGCCCTCTGAGGCCCTGGCCTCAAACTCCAGACCCATGCTATCAGCTGGCCCACAGGACTGCAGGGCCCGGGCACTCTCTGCCCTCTCGGTCTGGATGGCCTGTCATCTCCACGGAGGGCCCTGGGTAATCACGGGTAATCACGACTACAGAGGGCAGAGAAGCCAGCCCGTGGCACAAGCTCATTTGCTGCGATGGGAACACTAAGTACTCTGGTTCGATCACTGTGTGGTGTACTCATATCCAATTATCATACTGTACCTCATAAATCAGAGCACCCGGCACCCTGGGACTCAGTGGACTGCATTACTGGAGTCCAGAGTGTGACCTGGGGGGGGGGGGCAGGAAGGCTGAGACTCCCGGTGGGAGCCAGGCCGGTGGGGCTCTGTCTCTGCCTCACACACAGCGAGGAGTGGACGGCCACCCTGTGTCCCTGCGCCTGGCACCTGGGTGCCACGAGCCCCCCCAACACCAGGCATAGCATATATAGGTGTGGACCCCGAGGCTGTGACACTCCTGCCTGGACCCGGTGGCCCTGCTGGGATGGATCCAGAAGGACATGAGGAGGCGGAGATGGAGGACAGCAGCCAAGAGCAAGATGCTGGGTGGAGCCCTCCCCGAACCTGCCAGAAATGGGCAGGAGAGGAAGTGACCACAGGGCTGGTGGCTGTGATTGGTAGGGAGCCGGCCTGGAGCTCAGCTCAGTGACCCTCAAGAGGACACTTCCTGCCCCTAGGGTCTGTCACCTCACCAGAATGGCACCACTGCCACCTCCCAGGGAAGAGGACTGGGGGGGGGCAGTATGATGAACAGCCCTGCCCAGGAGGGGCCCAGGGAGCTGGAGACCTCCCAGCCCCTGCTCGGGCTGCTTTGCTTGCTTAGGTCCCTGGGGCAGCTGGTGTTGTCCCCACCCCGGTCCCCTGGGACCTCAGTCCCGGAACCTCCTCCCTCCTCTGAGGCCCAGCCCAGCTCCTTCCCATCAGCAAAGAAAACGGCCAAGTACAAATGCAAAAGCCTGAGCCACAGTGCGTGCAAACACACACACACACACACACACACACACACACACACACACACACACAGGGCGCGCTCCCCGAGATCCAGTTTGCTTGGCTCTGGGAAGTGCTTGGAAATGCACCCCCGGAGCTGAGGCAGTGAGTGTGCAGCCAGGAAGTGTGCAAGGTGCTCACACTGGCTCTGCAGAGCCAGCAGGCTCCTCACTCCTGAGCCCAGATGCAGGCCAGGGAGTGGGTGGCTAAAGGATGCAGGAATTCAGTGCTGCCTTCCCCTCCTCGGATACAAAAGCCCTCAGGTACTCCTGTCATTGATGCCTGGGCACCTTGGATTTCTGCCAGCCAAAAGGCCCTCACCGCCAGGCATGGTGGTCACCTCAGCACTGGGGGAGGCTGAGGCAGGAGGCTCACAATTTCCGGTTCTTTCGGGACAATTTAGAGGACTAAAGAAGTGCTGAGGTGGAGCTCAGGGGTACCGCGTTCGGGGTTTGATTCCCCAGTTTTAAAAAAGCCCTTTCTTTTTCTGACTCAGCCTGTGGCACTGTATTATTGACCACAGAAAGCTGGCTGAGAGCACACCTGGCACCTGCATTTGCATCTCTACCAAGGTTGCTCCGAGGCACCAGGAGGAACTTGTGAAACTTTTCCCCTGGAGACCTCAGGGCCGGTGACTTTCCTGCACCTCCGGCTGTGCAGTGGAGTCCGGGGTGCAGGGCAGGCAGACGCCCAGCACTGGCCCATCTCAGAGCGGTGAGAGAGAGGCTGGGAGGGAGCTGGTCTTTGTTATTCTTTCCCATTTTGTTTTTCATTTGCTTGTTTTGTCTTTTTGAGACAGGGTCTCACTATGCCGTTTGGGGCTGGCCTGGAGCTCACTTTTGGTGACTTCCTGCCTCAGCCTCTCAGCGCACACCAGGCTTCAGGGCCTCCCATCCCAGGCAGCAGTCCCTGGGTAGGGCTGGTGGTTGCCAGGATATAATTATGGGCTCCACAAAGAAGCATCTTAAATATCAAAGGAGAACTCTTAACTAAACTCGATGCAACAAGGTTTAAGCACTGAAGTACACAGAACAGGACAGGTGGGGGAGGCAGGGGTGTGTGCAGAGGCCGAGGCAGGAGGCCACAAATTCGAGGCCAGCCTGGGCTCCAGAGTCAGCCTCAACTACACAGCAAGACGGTGTCTCAAAAAACCAAAGGAAAGAAATAGGGGCCCTGGTAGGGAGACATTCTGTCGGGCCTTAACCCAGCCGGTCCCCACTAAAGACAGGGGAGCACCCTTCGCCAGCCACAGTGCACCTCAGACCCGAGCCTGGCTGCAAGGGCAGAGGGCCCTACCTGGGGGGGCGGGGAAGACCCCAGGGAGCTCACAACCTCCAGAGAGGAGGCCTCTGGACCGTGGGAAGGGGCACTTCGGGGTTTGTTCCCTGAGCCGGGCTTTCCATGCCACATCAGGGCGTCAGTGACCCAGGCTGGCATCTCTGCAGCCACCTCTCCTTTTCTGAAACTTTGGCCCTGGGTTTGAGGGCTTCCCTTTGCAGCTCCCACCTGGTGATAAAGTCCCTGCTGCTATGCCTGGGTGTGGTCTGGACCCTGCCTGTGGCTCCCAGAACGCGGCTGCCCTATTGTTTGCATACGGCGACAAACAGCAAGCTGTGGGACAGTATGGGAAGGACAGAACAGGTCTCACTGTATGGTCTGGGCCGGTCTTGATCTGGAGATCTTCCTGCCTCAGCCTCCCCAAGTGCTGACCTGAGATTACAGCCCCTGCGCTCCCCTCCAGCCTAGGCAGGAGATGCCTCTTTAATCCTTTCTCGGAGCCAAAGGCCCCTCGGAATCCGTGGAGAAGGCGGGAAGTTCTGCTCCCAGGTGACAGATAAGGACACTGAGGCACCGGCTGGCCTGGCAGAAAGCAGGGTACCTCCGGGGGCGCCTCTTCCCTCCCGCGGGCTGCACCTGGACCTCAGCTTCTCACCTGGCGCGGTGAGGAGCGACAGCCCGGGTGTCCCCCTCCCGCGGGGCCCCGCGTCACCCCCGGAGTCACCGCCCCTCCCCCCCCCGGGACCCACGAACCTGACCTGGGCCGGGGCTCGGGGCGCAGCTGCTGCTCGGGCGGGTAGCCCGGTCCCCGGAGCCGGAACGCGACCTCCGTCTGCGCGGGCGCAGCTCGGTCCCGCTGCCCGCAGCGCCGCCCGGGGCTGGGCGGGGTCAGCGCGCCCCGCCCGCACCCCCTCCCCGCCCACCCGCCCGCCCGCGAGGCAGCAGGCTGGGGACCGGAGCCAGCAGCCCGCGGCCTGCGCCCTGGCCTCGCCCGCCTCGCAGCCTTCTCTTTCCAGGCCGGGTCTCCCAGACGGGGCTCAAACTGGCGACCCTCCTGCCTCGGCCTCGCACGGTGCTGGGATGAGGGCCGGCGGCTTCTCGCTTTTTGACCCAGGAAAACCGAGCCCCTCTGTGAGCTCCTCCCGTCCCCTTCCCGGCCCCCTCCCTGCTGACCTGTCCTTTTCTCCTTCTGCCCATTTTTCCTAAAATCCTCTCCAAACCGAAGCACTGGGGAGGCTGAGACAGGATCACGGCTTGTCAGAGGCCGGCCTGGGCCTCTAAATAAATTTTACAAAACGAATAAATAATTAGCAGGAGGCCTCAGAGACCCCGCTGTCCTTCCCAGGGGAGGGCGCTGGGAGAGAGCTGCACCCCAGACCCCGGATTCCTCCTGCAGGTGCGGTCTTGGTACAGTACTAGGGGCGTCCTGCATGGTGCTGTCCAGGTCCCTCCCTGGCATCCTGTGTCCACGGGGACACGACTGTCCCCACCCTCCTGCTCCGTATCACCTATTATTTATTCATTAATGTGGAATTGGAGGTTGGGAACTTCTCCCTGAGCTACAGCAGGGCCCTTTTAAATACAGATATATATATTTTTTCAGCCAGGGTCTCATTAACTGGCTTAAACTTGTAATCCTCCTGCCTCAGCCTCCCAGAGTACCACAATGACATACGTGTGCATTACACGCCCGCTCCCTCTGTGTCCTTGGTCCCCTGTACTGCAGTGTGGTGTGGACCTGTTCCCAGCGGTGTTCCCTTTGGGGAGCTCGGGTTAGGGGCCAGGGACATAAGACAGGAATCATCAGCAGGCAGACGCTGTGTGGAGGTGCAGCCCGGCCCCTCTGCCCAGAAGGAGCGCCCCTTCCTGCTCTCCCACGGCTCACCTGGTCTCCTCCTACCTGAGGGCCAGCTTTTGGTTCCTTTAGGTTTTTGAGGCAGAGTCTCCTATGTATCTGGGGCCGGCCTTGAACTCACTGAATTGCCCAGACTTGGGATCCTCCTGCCTCGGCCTCTCTGGCGCCATGTTACAGGTTTGCACTCCCACAGCTCGATAAGAACTATTCTGGCTGGAGAGGGAGGGCTGTGAGATGGTTGTGGGTTATGTGCCTGTTCCGGGGGCCTCCATTTCTATTCTTTTTATTATTCTTTGAGGAAGGTCTCCCTGTGTATCCTAGGCTGGCCTTGAATTCTCAGAGATCTTCCTGCCGCAGCCTCCTGAGTGCTGGGATGACAGGCATGCACCACCATGCCCAGCTTATATTCATTTTTAAAAATTGTATTTTATTTGGTTTTTTTTGGATGATGTCTCACTGTGTATCTCAGGCTGGCCTTGAACTCACTATTTGGCCCAAACTGGCCTCGAGCTCACAGGAACTCACAGGAATCCTCCTGACTCAGCCTGCCTGGTGCTGTGATTACAGGTATGCAATGAATGCCCTTGGCCTGACCTGGCTGTCTTCACCAGGATGGACAGAGCTGTCAGGTCACCGAGTACCCTGGGGTTCTGGGGGCTCAGAGAGGTGGATAAGGCCTCCCCCAGGGTCCTCAGCTGGGAGGCTCGGCCCCCACCTGGCTCGCAGCTGTCCCAGAGCTGCGCTGGAGCAGCTGTTGCTTCGCCCACAGCAGATCTCAGAGCCGGACAAGAGAAACTCCTGATGAAGAGCACAACTCAAAAGCGACTCTCTGCCAGGCAAGGTGGCACATGCCTGTGACTCCAACACTGGCAGACTGAGGCAGGAGGTCACAGGTTTGAGCCCGCACTGTGGGGCGAGACCGTGTCTCACAAAGAAGGAAGAAGCCGAGTGTGGTGATGTACACCTATAACCCCAGCACTTGGGAGGCTGAGGCAGGAGCATTCTTACAAATTTGAAACCAGCATGGGCTATAAAGTGAGGCCAAGGCCAGCCTGAACTGCATAGTGAGACCCTGTCTCCAAAAGACTGAAAAAAAAATAAAGCAGTGGTAGCTGAGGTGGTGGCACAGGACTGTGGTCCCAGCACTCTGTGAGTCTGAGGCAGGAGGCTCACAAATTCCAAGCCAGCCTGGCATGGTGGTGCACACCTGTGATTCTAGCACATGGGAGGCTGAAGCAGGAGGGTCACTTGAGTTTGAGGCCAGCCTGGGCTGCATAGTGATACCCTGCCTCCAAAAAACAAAAACAAAGGCAAAACCGCAAAAGCAAATTCCAGGCCAGTCTGAGTCATTTAACACTTTATTGGATTGAGAGCCTGTGTCAAAATAAAAAATAAAAAATGGCTGGGGATGTAGCACACTGAGAAGGCCCAGGGTTCAATCCCCAGTACTGCAAAAAGAGGAGGAGGAGGAGGAGGAGGAGGAAGAGGAAAAGAGGAAGAGGATGGGAGGGGAGGCGAGGAGAGGGGAGGGGAGGGGGAGCTGCTGAAGGGGACCTCAGAGAAGGATGGAGAGGACTTCGCTTCATTCCTGAAACTTTCTGCTCCACCCAGCTTCAAAAAGAAGAGAAAACAAAAGCCAAGCCTAAGCCTCCCTCTACCTGTACCTGGGGTTTCGGTTTCAGGCTGAATCATCTGCCTCGGCTCTGGGTCCCTTGCCGCGCCTTCTCCTCAGCTTCTCAGTCCCTGAGGACCACGCTAGGCCTGGGTCCGCCCACGCAGGGGCACCCAGGTCCCTCTGGTTCTCATCTGAGTCCCAGGCTGCGCGAACTGTAACTCCATCACCTTAACCACACAGCTCTGCATGGTGGCGCACACCTGCCACTGCGGCACCCGGGAGGCTGAAGCCAGAGGGTAACACGCTGGAGCCCAGAATAGACAGCTTAACCAGACCCTGTCTCAAAATAAAAAATAAGCCAGGGATTTAGCTCAGCGGCAAAAGCACCAGCCTGGCAAGCATAATGTCCTGAGTTTGATCCCTGATACCAAAATAAATAGGTACAATAAAATGAAAAAAATAAAGAGCTGGGGTGCAGCTCAGTGGGGATCCTGGATTTCGCAATGCTCTCTCAGGGCTGGGGCTCCGTGGCATCCTTGGCCAGGCCAGGGAATTTCCCATGATGCTTTGTGAGCACCCCCTCTAAGAGGCCCAGGGACAACAAACCGTCTGCCTGGATGCCCTTTTTCCAGCCCCCACACCCTGGAAAGGGGGTCACCATGGCCCGTCCCCTGCCAGGGTCACAAGGTCCTATTTTTCTTTCTTTCTGGGGTGGAGAGTAAGACCGGCCCCTTTCTGTGGTCACTGCTAGGCCCCCTGTCCTGGCCTCTCTGCCCTCTGTGGTCCTCATTCCTGCCACCCAGTCCTGAGTCCCAGCGTGGCACACACCTGTGAGGTGTGCTAAGGCTGAGGCAGGAGGATGGCAGCCAGTTCCAGGCCAGCCTGGGCTACACACACCCCAGGAGGGGGCTGTGACAACGGCCGGAATTACCCGCCCCTGCCCGGGTGTCACAGGGCCACAGAACGGTGCCAGGTAGGATGAGGCAGGGAGGGCTGGAGCTTGGGGGAGCGGGTACAGAGGGGCACACTCGGGTTAGGACGCGGAGACCTGGCCGAGTGTGTCCCTGGGGCTGGTGGAGGCCTGGGTCCCCAGGGAAGGACGTGGCTCTTCCTGGTAGCAGTGGGGAAGGAAGTGGCTGCTCTGAACCTTCCAGAATATTCCATCCCATTTCGGGTCACAGATGGGAGCCTCAGGAAACCCCTTGTCCTAGGAGGGTGAGAACGCTCAAAGGTCACAGTCAGGGCCTGGCCTGGGAACAGCTCAGAGATTTCACCCGATGTGGGGGACGTCCCTCCTCGGCTCCCAGGACAGAGGAGGCTGAGTGTGGGGACAGAGATTTGTTCCAAGTTCCCAGAATGGACATTGTTATCCTGAATGGACGTGTTACACACGTGTGACAACAGAAAAATAAAGGGCAGGATGACAGAGAGGCCCCAGCATGGGGCTCTGGACGGGGCGCCCCAAGCAAAGGCCCTGGCCCAAATCAGAACAGGGCACTAAGTGGGGTGCACTTGTCTTTGGGGGACCCAGCACTGCCCAACAGTGCCTAGGACATCCCTTTTATTTTATTTTTTTTAGATTACAAATATTTACTGCAAGCCACTTCCTTTTCCAATATTAAAAACAAAGCATGACAGGAAACATTCAGGGACTGGAACTGGTAAACCCGTTCCCACATCATCATTGCGTAAAGCATCGTCAAAGGCCAAGATATTGTGTAGCTTAGAATTGGGGAAGCCTATACGCTATTTAGACGGTGGCAAGAAAAAACAACCAGACCAACCCCCAACATTTTGCAACATAAAACTGTACTGCTTAATGTAGTTTCCATCAACTTTCTGTGAAATTCAGATCTCAGCGTATGGTTTGCAAATCTGTTGCCTCTCTTTTGCTCACCCCAAGCTTTTGCACAGTCCTTAAACAGGGTCATCATCCCCCTTCTTCTAACCGTGAAGGTGGCCTGAGGCTGAGCAGAGGCTTTCCACCAGGGACGTCTTCCTCCAACCCTTTCCTCTCCAGCTCTTTCGTGTTTAGTTTTTCCCAGTTCTGCCTGAAGACTGTTATAGCCTAGTTCTAACCATTGCGCCTCATTTCTGTTCTGTATGTGCCGCTCAGCCCCACTTTCCCTTCCTATCTTTCTAGGTTAAGTTTCAATTCCTGAGAAAGCTGTAAAAGCCTTAGGTATCAGTTTCCTGTAACCCCCTCCCCTACCCCTCATCCGGCTATCTGTAATAAAATGTGCTGTTCTTTAAGAAATGCTTAACTTCAAGGAAATTACTGTAAAGTTCTGTAAAGCTCAGATGCTACCTAATGGTGTCAGCGATTATAACATTCCTGTGATTTTCAGCTTTAAAAGCCTAATTCCCCAGCTGTGAGGTGCGCAGTCTCCAAATTGGCTCCCGGGGATTGCGTCGCCAGGCCTGGCCTAAAATAAAGCCTTTGCTCCCCAAATTTTAATTTCTTGCTTCCTTGGATTTTATTCCGGGGTCTGAGCTATCACATTTGGGGACTCTCCCGGGATGGGAGCAAGACCCCAGACTCATCTGAACATTTGAAAGTAAGTTCTCTGGAGAGTTTCTTTGGGCTGCAGTCAGTTTGTTCTCTTGGGGAGGGGATGCCCTCAATTTGGGATGTCCCGAGGACAGAGTCAATTGTTTTTTTGGGGCAAATCTTGTCTGTTTGTATAGTTTTCAGGACGAACTTCAGCCATTTGTGACTCTGCCCGGGTGGGGAACTGCTCCGTTGGTTAATTTGTTAATTCCTCCAGATCCCAAAATTTGACCAATTTTAGAGCAAAGGCCATTTTGCTGCAGCTTGTCTTGTCTTGTATGTCTGTCTGTGTGTCCATTTCTTCTAATTATTCTCCTTTTGGTTACCCCAAATCTAGCAGAACATTCTCTCCTAGGAACCCCTTCTACCAGCCCAAAACGGACAAAGGGATTTAGATATTTATGTTCAGTGTTTTTGTACTTTAGAATTGTCTGCCTGTTAGAATTTGTTACTAACTTAGGGGCTCATTGCCCATTTCTGTTGCAGGATCCATATGGCTTATTAGACTCAAGGTTCATAATAAAAATATTATTTCCTTTAGCTTACCAAACTGCACGAAGCAACCTTTGTTTGTGTCTTTTATGTTGTGGCGCCTTGTTTAATGTTTTAGTCCTCAATTGATTACTTGCAACCTCTGCATGCTTTTTAAAAAAAGAGTATTTTCTTTCTGGTTAAAATGTAAACATATGTGCACATGTATGTATATTTATGGTTTTTAAGGATCATATCAACTTTACCAAGTAAAAACCAGGTCATACTACATTTGAGCCAGTTAAAAGGTTACAGTTTTTTTTTTAAATACAGCATTTTAATGTAGTAAAAAGACATAAAATAATTAAATATGTTTTAGACTATTAAAAGGTGACTTCAAGTGTTTTGTTGAGTTTTAATGTTGTCTGAGAAGTGAGAGGAAAGGTAATTGACTGGTAATAATAAGAAAAAGAGGGACAAAGAAAGTGGTTTTGTCTTCAAGTAAAAATGTCTGGCTGTGCCAGAATGTGGAAGAAGCTAAAAGCTCAACTTGGGGGTATATTGTAAGTTGTAGAAAGCTCAAGAGGATGTGAATTTCATTTGTCTTGGTTTATAGTACTGCAAATAACAGGTTTGACAAGAAGTAAATGTGTTCAGAATTTGACAGTATTAGATCAGTTTTGGTAGAAGTATTCATAAGATTGGTAAACCTTTGCTGCAAAATGTTTCCATTAAAATGAGATTATAGGTGATTATAGAGATAAGATACAAGTTCTTGCATGTGCTGTGAACATCTGGGAGATTATGCGGCACAATTTTGTTACCTATGAAAAAGCCCTTTTTTATTAAGTATGTAATTTCAATAAAATGATGGCCTGCCACGTGGTACCCTTTAGACAAAAAGCGGTGTGCCATCCAGATGAAGCCTGCTCTCTGGTCTGGAATGCTAGAATCATGTTTTCCTTTTGTCCCACCCCGATTGGACATCCAGAGGTAAGGAGGTTTCCCAAGTATTGCCAATTGTTCTCTTTGCAACTCAGTCGGCCCCACATGTTAGACAAAAATTGCGAAGGTTTGAGAGATTTGAGAAAATGCCCCTCAGCCAGTAGAGATAGCACAAAAGGTCTTTGAGAACTGAGAGAATTTACAAGAAGCTACTAACAAAAAGATAACCAAGGTGGGGCTGGGGATTTAGCTCAGCGGCATAAGCGCCTGCCTTGCAAGCAGGCAGTCGTGAGTTCAATCCCCGGTACCGATAAAAAGGAAAAAGAAAAAAAAAAAAAAAAAAAAGATAACCAAGGTGTTAGAATTGCTCTATGAGAGAGAATTTTTAAAAAAACAGATGAGAGTTTGTGAGGGTGATTGGATACTGTAGGCCAAAATTTACTGAAAAGCTCGCTTCTATATGACTCCCGTAAGGGAGAAACTCAAAACTCACTGAACTGGACTGATAAATGTGAACGGGCCTTCCAGCAGCTCAAGCGGGCCTCACAGAGGTTCCAGCCCTGGGACTCCGACATTACCAAGCCGTTCACCTTGTTCATAGATAAACTCAAGGGCATTGCCAAAGGAGTCCTAGCCCAGGAAGAAACATTGGCCCTTGGAAGAGGCCTGTAGCCTACCTCTCCAAAAGACTTGATCCAGTGACAGGAGGATGGCCCCCCTGCCTGAGAATCCTAGCTGCCGTGGCAATGTTACTTAGAGAGGCTAAAAACTTACTTATGGACAGAAGATTTCTGTAGTGATCTCCCATAGTTTAGAGACTCTTATCAAAACACCTCCCAAAAAAAGGCTCTCGAATGCTAGAATTTTACACTATCAGGCCCTGCTTCTAGACCCAGAGTAGGTAGTTTTCAAGACTTCTTCAGCTTTAAACCCAGCCACCCTTATGCCTGATGACGACCTGGAGGAACAAAGGACACCTCTCCATGAGTGTGCTGACATCCTTGAACTGCAGCAGAACCTACGGGCTGATCTTACTGACCAGCCTTTGGGAAATGCCGACAACTATTTCACCGATGGAAGCAGCTTCATCCAGAACGGCAAATGAGTGGCCGGGGCAGCAGTGACCACTGAAAAGGAGGTATTCTGGGTTGAGCAGTTAGAGGCTGACACCTCTGCCCAAAAGGCAGAACTCATTGCTTTGACTGAGGTGCTAAAACTAGCCACAGAAAAGAGGGTAAACATCTATACTGACTGTAGATATGTTTTTGCTACTATACATGTACATGGAGCCATCTATCAGGCTAGGAGCGAGGTCTCTTAACCTCGGCTGGGACTAAGATTAAAAATGCTCCACAGATTCTAGACTTGCTGGCAGCTGTCTGGCTGCCTCAACGAGTTGCTATTATTCATTGCAAGGCTCACCAGACAGGAGATGACACTGTCACCTTAGGAAACAGTTTGGCAGATCAAGCCACTTGAAAAATAGCAACCACATCAGAGGGGCCAACCAAGAAAGTAACTGCTCTGATGCTAGTCCCTCCAACCTGGTCAGAATCAGTCTACACAAAGAAAGACCTACAGTTAGCATCTCAACTTGGAGTGAAGTCCCCACCCCAGGGGGCTGGTACCAGTTACCTGATAAACAAGTACTGTTACTGGAGGCACTAGGGCGGGAGCTGTTACACCAGGCTCAC